ATCATACACACACACTTCTCAAACCCGAAATAACGAGATAGAGAGAGTACTTCATTCTTGAACTGGCCACAGATAAACCAATGGTAATATTCGTATTGTCAGACGGACAGAAAAGAAATCACTTTGAATTATCCCACATCCCGAGATAACCCGATTGACCTTTTGTGTGTGTGTGTGTGTGTGTCTATGGACTAAAGAATAGGGGGTCAGGGGTCGGGAGTAACATTGAGCGGCTGACCAGCCGAGTGGGCAGTCGGCTTGCCGTTCATTGTTCTCTCAAGCAAAACACATACACAACCACACAGACAATCCGTCTTCCATTCAGGTCACACTTGAGAAAACGATATTCACCCTTTGCAACGTGACCCCGTCGTACATCGAATAAATATGAATACGGCGATATATCTGTATACAGCGAAATCTACACATATACACACAGAGGCGAGCAAACCGTCAAGGCAATCCAGTAGCCAAATGAGGTGGTTTGGCGCGCGGGAGCAACAGATGAATTTGAGAGAGAAAGCGTTTCCCTGACTTTCAGGCCTTTTGTTCCGTCCCAAATGAACGCATTCAAATGGGGGTCAATTTGTTGACCTGGACCAGAACAGAGAGAGAACAACAGTAGTTAGTCAGTTGGTGGGATTTTTGACCGCGGGACAATCACTCATCTGATGCCACGGTATCTCTCTACCGTGAGACAGACTTTCCCAAAAGACTGCTTCGTCAGTGTAGGGGTGAATTATTTTCCCCCGGGGGGCAGCTTGAAATCAGAATTGTTAAAATATCGAAGCATTTGTTTACCGCAACCTGAGACTTTTCCCCACATACTGAAAGTACAAATTTTTATCCTATATTTCCAGTACTTTAAAGTTTTATTTTTCATCTAATATCCAGTTAAATCAGCCAGGTAACGCGGATTACATTCTTAGAAACGAAAAGATATTGTTAAAGTTTTTCAGGAACAAATCTTGCCTCAACAGTGACTAATTTTGTGACCCGCAGTGCATAACCTTCTAACTGATCTGACGCAAATCACAGACACTAAATTGCTTCATTGCGTGTGGCCCTGCAATGGATTAGAAACAGGTCCACATTTTTTAATAGGATTTAAAATAACACGACACTACTTCGTGAAGATTTTCTTTTGGGATTTCAACTGTTGTAAGTTTTACCCACCTTAATCACGTTCTGGACTTTGTTTCGAAGCGTACATACCGATTTTTCTTCAGGGTCATCGCAACTAAGTCTATACTCGTGCTTATACCCGACCGGAACCCTGCCCAGAGAGAAAACACTGGACCCTATCCTTCCTTATATGTGTATGTATATTCGCCAGTAAATAAAGGGCTGGAGACAATTTTCCCAAAGGTATATGATTGGTTTCGCATTCCTTGCAGTGCATCAGACGTCTATATCCTAGAATCAAATCAAAAATGGTTAGCAAACACACAAGTTATTCTATTCGTTCATCCAACTCATCGACATTTAGCGTTCGTGTATCGCAGCACAAGTCAACACATTACTGATACAACACAGTTAAATCCATCAAAAATACACCAACTAGTTTAAATTTGTGTTTTCCTATGTGACTTGGATAACTTTTGTCTTTGATTCAGACACTATATTTGTTTGAATCAAATTAAATTTAGTTTTGCCAGATGAAAGAATGCTGTGAGAGGCAAAGTTATGCCCTGACTCAACATCTGGTGCCGAAGAAAACCTCATTCAGATAGAGATTATAGCCTCCTGAGGACTGAGCCACATTGATGGGAAACATAAAAGCTATTACACACATCAGAATCCATTCATAATGAATGTATCCATTGGACGTTTCGAGTAACGGTCAGGCGCCTGCACAGTGATTGCTCTGTTATTTCCTCTGACAGTACTCGCGGATGAATCACACGGATCCGCTAAAATTGGTTTATTTGAACTCAATGATAGTTGTTATGACCAATTTGGAAAATTTTGTATTGCTTCTCATGATTAACTTTAACCAGTTCCCAGGAATATGACACGAGGTTGAAGCACTAATAGCACCAACCAGATTGCATGTATAATTCGCATGTATGCCTTAATCAAGGCGATTCGCGAGTTTTCGAACGCATTCATTCTATTCCACCCCGCCCCGCCCCGCTCCATCCCGCATCCCGATGTTTGCAGCCACATTGTCTTACCCCCTCACGGACAGGCTGACACTCTGACTGAGCCGGTGTCAATGCAGTCGACGAGGAAACCCCCTACCACAACCGAGGTGATTGCCAATCATCTGAGTGAAGTGCTTATTGCTTCGATATTGGGTCGCAGCTCTGGCCTATTCATCTTAACGAGCCACCTAAGATGTGTGACTCACACGTGCAAATTTCTGACACGTGAAGCTTATTGTAACCAGTAGGTAACCAATGACTAAAATATTGTTATTTCGAACTTATTTTTTTAAAACTTTCGCCTTTTTGTAAACCTGCTTTTCTACATAAAAGCCTGTCAAACTTCCGGAGATTCGAAGACAGATAGAAGATCGCATATCGGTTTACTTGATCTTATTATCCAGTCGATATCACTGCATAATTCCATTCGTAATTTGTGAAAGCTTGAATTTCAAACTAGTAAATTTCATTGAATTACACAGACCCAGATGATCAGACGAAACGCTTGCATCGTGCACTTCGTATCTACTTTCGTTTCCATAGTAGGGGTAGCACTGAGAGAAGGAGGTACATCAAGATTGTTATTTCAATGCTATGATTCTCTTGAAAAGAAATGAAAACCGAATATGTATGGTAAGGTCTTTATAAACAGTGTTACACACCAATTCTGATTTGTCGGGACAATCCACCAGGCAGTATGTCTCTGAGTGACGGCATTTTCCACATATGCGTGTGAGGGGTATTTACTTGTCCTCTACCTCCAAATGCGTGTAATATCAGAAACAGTACACACAATGCTTGTGACAAACAAACGTGATAGCTTCTCAGAGGGCGCTTGGTGTTCCAGCAAGCCGTGCTCCTTTCTCGGTCGCTCTCTCGCACTGTCTCATGGATGATATATACACACAAAACATACACATTCTACCGATATATGTATTTGAAAACAAGGGTCAATCAGCTAGGGCGTATGTGTTTAGATGCGCGTGTGTATGAAAATGTGACTATTGCCCACCGGCGGCGTGACTAGGCAAAACGCACACACACACCCTCATTGGGCCAGTCACGGAGTTGAGAAAAATAAGGCGTCGATTAGTGATGGTTATCCAGCGCGATTCCTGTCCCAGCTGTTTATCTTACATCACTTTGCTTACTCCACCCCACATGCATCGTGAGGCTCTTGGAAGAGAATACAACTCACTCACAATCGCCGACTGTTTATCCCTTATAATCCGTATTGCTTTGCTCGTCGAGCTGCAAGGTTATTGCCATTGGGATGCAAAACCTCGATGTATACACATTGACGAGCCTGTGGGTGTTTGAACTGGACAAATGCAAACCGGTCTAACGTGTAAACAAAATTAATATCGAGCAAGCGCCTGCTACCGATACCAACTCCTCATCAATAACACGGATGTTTAAACAAACCAACACCAACAACAAAACTGACACAAACACCAGCACCACAACAATCACAAAAAGAACAACACCGAGACAGAGATATTATACTAATTTTATGTGTAGTAAACATTGTAATAAGACCTTCTATTCTATCTCATTTTCTGTATCAAGGCTGTGCGTGACCCTGTAAAGGAACACACTATGGAAAAGTTGTATGAGAGTCAGACAGACGATCTTCAGACTAACATGAAATTGTTTAAAAATATCTTAGTTGCTTATGAACCAACTAATCACAAACTCTCTGAAGCTACAACCGAAAGTTCTCACTTTTGTTTGGCATATGGTTTATGGAGTGAATTCCCTACCATTTTATTTCAGCTTCATTCGCCCATACAGGTGTGTGTGTGTGACCAACAGATTACACCAATTACACAACAGCACCAAACCATTTCAAATGATGTGA